GCAGTGCGCCGTCGTTGTGCACTGTTTGTCTCCGTGTACTCTCGCTACCTCCTTTTTCCCAGGAGGGATTTACTTGCTGTTTTCCAGGAAGAATTTACCACAAAATGCACTTCCTTCAAAAGTCTTCGCGCACCGGGTCGATGCTGTAAAGCGCGCATTCGCTCCGGTGAACGTCCGGAAATTGCCCTCGAAAGAAATGAGTTACTTTTTTGACAGGCATGCAAGTGAACACGGAAGACATTACGGTGCCATGGGGCAGAGCACCGGATCCACTGGATATCCAGTTTGGCCGCTGGCGCATGGCTGTTTTCCAGGATGTCCAGGAGAGCTTCGACAAGTCCAAGCTGTACTTCCTCTACGATCCAGTTGCTGACGAACGCTCCGGAACAACGTTTGTTCTTCTGGCTGCCTTTCATTGTACACCAACTAAATAGTGTATTTGTCACTCATTTCGTTGTTAGTGAGGAAGCGAAGATGCGGTCAAAATGCTGCGCTAGCACTGTTTTTATGCTTTTTTTTTTTTGCATCTATGCAATGCAAAAACGTATATTATCGAGGGGTTGCCTGTGTATGTGTGTGTGTGTGTGTGTGTGTGTGTGTGTGTGTGTGTGTGTACCTATGCGTATGCCTGTGTATCTGTGTGCCTATGCGTGCATCTATACCGGTTTTTCATCTCGAGACCTACAAAAGCTACAAAGCTGAAACTTTGGAAACTTAATCTACATGCATGTACTGGCCCTTGTCCTCAAGATGAACGCTGTTACCTACATGATTCCAACGCACAGGCCCATCAAAGTTTTTGGCGGTTAAGTTGCTAACTCGGGAACTTGAAAAACTAGAAAGCTGAAATTTTAAGGGGATGTTCGTTGTCCACGTACAATCAAATGATTTCAAAATCAGCCCCCAAGTGTGCTTGGTTCTGCCTGCCCGTTAAAATTTTTGGCGGACAAATTGCTAACTCGGGAACCAGAAAAGCTAGAAAGCTGTAATTTTAAGAGGATGTTTTCTGACAGTCGTAGTGGCCAATCTCAGTTTTTTTAGCCGGGAACGTTTGCCGGAAAAAAAGTGTTGTTAAGTAAAAAAACTTTCGGGAGACTGTGAAAAAAAAACGCATCTTCGCGCCGGCAGTCGGTGCGGTGGCCAGTTATTGCAGGTTGTTGGGATGGTGTTCTCTGACCATTATTTACTTGGAATGCTTGGGTGTGTTGGATTCTTAATCTGTTTCTCGAACTGTACAACTGGCAGCTGTTCCAACTGCCTTAACCAGTGCTACATCTCCTGGCGGTCAGCCCGCTGACAGCTCTGACGTTTATTTCGCCACCTAATCAGTTCAGCGGTTCTGCCGATAGAAGTTTTGCAAAGTTTTAATCGTTTCAAAATCTTCTGGTGAGCATTAAATACATTCCGAACGTTGGTACACCTTTTGGGCCTGGATGAGGGCACCTTGCTAATTAAGACTTTCGCCAGTACCACCTAGGAAATCTTGAAAGGGAGCCACCAGGCATTCCCAGAGCAGCTTCTCTCGACAAATTTATTGCAGGGGTGGACGCAAGGGGAACCAGGGACTGGTGATATTTGATTTGCAGAGACGATGCTTCACTCGAGAATTGCCCCTCTACTGCGAAGGTAATGCTGCTTCTTATCAGTTTCTGCATACACATCTTTTGGTTCCGCTTCTGCTTGTGCCATCCTTCTACAAATGTTATGTGGAGCAAATACTCGCTCACGGAATCCATCTCTCACTGCTTTGTTTGTTTGAGGCTCGCCGAAGTACATTTTCGCACTGAAATGCCCGTCGCCGTCCGGTGGATCATCATTTGTCGTAGTTACCGCCACAGATCGATACGGCCAAACTGGTGTTAGTCTTTTTCTGCTCCTTCACAATCTTATCATTGCTTTCGGATCTTCGCATTTACCAGTGCGTTCTTAAAACGGGGCTGTACGTCCATTCTCTTCCTAGCTGCGATCGTGGGAATCGGTATATGGTGGCTGCAGCTAGCACAGTTACTCGGCTTAAGCGATGCAGAAGCTTTGCCATGAGATTGGTTGCGACTTAGCTTACAACAACATAGGTAGTTAGCTTTCAAGCGCGACCCATTTCGATGAAAGGAACAAAAGAGGTGCGAAAGATGGGCATCGTTATTGGTAAGGGAAAAAAGCGGTTATGAGATAGCAGGAGTTTTGTTGCCCATCTATCATCTGTTGCTTGCTTGCAAACGACGTTCTGTTTCAGTTGCTGCTGTTCCGAGTCAATTTGACGCAGGATGGGATGAACTTGGAGAGCGAGCCAAGACCACTTCTGTCCAATTCGATACCGGTCAGTGACGCGTTCATAATCGCAATCCGTGAAGATGCACCCGAAGTTGTGCTGATGACCGCACCTGGCCTTAGTGTTTGGCGAATGAATTGTCTGGTGGAGCAGCCATCCAGCCCGATGGAGTCATTCTCAGTTCCTGGCGCCGACCTGAACCACTATTACGACGCTTATCTCAGTCAGGGGTACCATCCTTTAATTTCAGTTCTTTTTACTTCCATTCTTCAGTTTCTCTTGAGACGCACTGTATAGTGACAGCTCGGAGTTCTTCCCAGATCATTCATTAATTTTCATATTTACATTTTCAGGAACGTTTACTTCATGTCACAGTCACCAGATGGGCATTTTGATCCGTCACGAATTCATGTTCTTGAGATTACTGGACATCGTCAAATACGCACTCAGATGTGCAATCCGGACCCTCAGCGTGGCTTTCCGAATCCGCGCAAACAAGCAGCAATGGATTCCATGTCAGGTACAGTTGAATTCGTTACACAGGACATTTGTATCTCTCTGATTTTTCATATTTTTTGATGTGGCGGCTACTGTCCATTGATGATTTCATTACACTGTTCGTCGACAGCAAGCGCGGTTCATTGTTATTAAACCCTGTATCGTAAAGTGACTCATCAATGCAGTGATATAAGAGAGGAGCATACCAACCTTACGATTTTGAATTGGACACCAAATTCATCGGTATGGAAAGAAAAATATAAGGAATTTAGTGAAAGCGCACAAAATTTCGACGGAAAAAGCATTTTTATGCGTTTTTTGCAGCAATGCAATGCGAAAAACGCTATTGACGAGAGGTTGTCTGTGTGTCTGTGCGTCTGTCTGTCTGTGTGGGCGTCTGTCACGTACTTTCATCTCAGGACCTATAAAAGCTGCGGGGCTGAAATTTCGGGAACTTAATCTACATGCATGCACCGCCCCAAATCCCTCAAATGGGCGCCAAAACCCGCGTGGTTCCCGCGTACGGGCTCATGCACGTACCGCCCCCAGTCCCCAAAATGGGCGCCAAAACCCGCGTGGTACCCGCGTACGGGCTTGCCAAAGTTTTTTTGGGGTCAGTTCATAACTCGAGGATCTGAGAAGCTAGAAGGCTGAAATCTTGGTGTAATGTTCCCCGCCCAGCCGGGTATTAGTTGGCTCAAACTCAACCCCCGAATAAGCGTGGGACCCAAATACGGGCCCGCCAAATTTTTTTCGTGTAAATTGATAACTCAATTACCTGGGAAGCTAAAGGAATGTGATTTTGAGAGGATATACTCCGTCCACCTAAGTTTCATTCAGCTCAAACCCAGCTCTCAGGTATGCTTGGTAGACATGCACAGACCCATTAAAATTTTGTTGCAATAAGTTGCTAACTCAAGGGCCACGGAAGCTAAAAAGCTGAAATTTCAAGGGGATGTTTCCTG